GAAATTACAGAAGAGACTGGAGTTGGGCTGGAGTGGACAGAAAATAGTTAGAAAGGAACAAAAATGATACCTAGGAGGCAGTAGGCTGAGTGGGAAATTGGAGAGTCAAATGAACACTAGAGATACCTTAGTATCACAGGGAGACAAACAATGGAAATCGAATTTTACCAAAGTTAACTATAGGCTTTAGGATAAAGAGTAAGCTGGCTATGGGTGGTTGAATGTCCCATGTAAACCGAGGAAGAGTCAAGGCTGAGACAACACAAAGACAAAGCTTGTTGACATGAAGGTCAAAGAAAAGGCAAAATAAGATCAATGTTCATAAGAATCTGGATAAAATAAGTTCAATGTTTATAAGCCATGAGAATCTGGATAAGATTGCTTGAGACAGAAATGATCAGGTAAAGAAAACACACTGGCAGTCTTTCCAATTCCCTATATTTAATGGGAAACATGGCACAAGATTGTCTTTGATACAGGCGCAACAACAGCAATGGCAGTATTAGCGATCCTAGGGAACACTTACCAGTTAGAAATAAAGGTAAGCCATTTGTAATGGCTAATCGTGGCTGAAATCAACTCAAAGACAAGCCTGTGGGTGGGCCTGTAAGGGTGTTTACTGGGATGATTAATGGAAGGGGGAAGACCCTCCTTCAGGAATGGGCAGCAGCTTCCAGTGGGTAGCCAGGTATGAAAGAGCCCCATGGGAAAAACAGTGGACTTCTGCCTATCCACCCTTGCTCCTTGCTGAATGCATCCACCCTGCTGCTGCCACTCCTGGGCCTTCCATTATGTACTAAAGACCAACAGCTTTTCAGGAACCCTCCAGGTTTTCAGCACCAGAATGAGTCATCTGGCCTTTGGATGGGTTATCAGTCTCTCCAGAGTACAGTCACTGTTGGACTACTTGTATCGTATAAGCCAATTCTCTGTAATATATATTCATCCTATTGGCTTGTTCTTTTAGAGAACCTAGTACATCATTCATAAACATATACTTGTATTATATAGCTGTATCTGATTTATTAATACTTGTAGAGTTTATTGAATTTATACTTTACACATATTGATATTGTATATTATGTGCATAAATACACATATATTTACATATAAATTTAACAACTATATTATATAGGCTGAGTATTTTAATTTACAGATAGTAAACTGAGGCTGTAACTGCTGTCAACAAAGGATTAATACCTAGAATAAAGAAGTAATTCCTAAAAACCAATAAATAAAAATGGGAAAAAAAATCTGAATGGCTTGTATAAATGGTGTTCAGTGTTGTTAACAAAGGCAAAATTAAACACAGTAGTCACATAAGCAAAACAAGAAAAACACACAACAACACCCCCATCTGCAAATCCCCTAAACATCCCACTGAAACCAAGTGCTAAGAATGTTGATCAACAAACTAAGGTGTGGCCATTTAAGAGACTATTCTGTGCATCAAGGTAGACGGATGACATCTAAGTGAATCATTAGGGGAACATCTAGGAAAGATAGTACCGATTAAAAAGTAGTTGTAGAAAGGCACAGTATCAGATAACTATGACTACTGTATACTGTACAGACACATCTACACATTACAAGCATAAAGATGACGTGGGAAGGATTCACTCAAACTAGAGGTTAAGGAGGGAACAAAGTGAAGAATATTATATATAGACTAGGGCACTCAGGGGCTGCAGAAGTGGTACCTGACTTTGATGCTTGGAACCCCCATAAAGGTGGGAGGAGAGAGCTGACTTATAAAGTTATCGTCTGACCTCCACATGTGTCTGTGGGCATGTGGGACCACACACACACACAATAATGATAAACAACGAGCATAAAAAGGAGCTTTAATCTCGCCTGTACTTTTTGTTTTGTTTAAAAAGTACTTGGCAAAAGTTAAGAGCAGCCAGACTGTGAAATCTCTGAAAATTTTCTTGTATATTTCAAATAATTCATTAAAGTACTCACTTTTCAACTTTTTAAGTCTGTTATACTGTATAAAGCAGCATTAAAAACTGTTGTGTAATATGGCATTGATGTAAGTTCTTTTTATTTTATATTTTTCTTATTTTACATATTGATCCCAGTTCCCTCTCCCTCCTTCTTTCCCTCCCTCCCACGGCCCCCCCCACCCTCCCATCCCATTGCTCCCCCCTCCACTCCACAGGGAGGGTGATGCCTTCCAGGAGGGGTCAACAAAATCTGTCAAGTCATTTGGAGTAGGGACTAGGCCCTCCCTCCTGCCTCAAGGTTAAGGGAGTATCCCTCCATGGGGAATGTGCTCCTAAAGTCTTTTCGCGCACCAGGGATACATCCTGGTTCCACTGTTAGACTCTTAAACCTGTGTGTAGAGTAGCATTCTCCTTATATATTTTTACGCTTCAAGAGCTTCTTGTGTTCTTTAAACTCTGGTTGAAACCAATGTATGGGACAAACCCCCAGCATGAGAGCTGGAGGGCTGAGAGGCTGTGGACTAAGATATAATCACCTCAGCACCATGCCACAGCCTTTCCAGGTGTGTACCATATGCCACACATTAACTGACTTCATTTTCCTTAAAAACTGAAGGTAGACTGGACATTTCCATGTTACAAATGATTTCTATTTTGCAATTGAGACATTGCAGTTAAACATAAGGTTAAACTGCCTTCAAAGCCAAGCACTGAAGTCTTGAGGACAGATGGCTAGCTCGTTTGACAGACCCATGTTCTCCTAAAAAACTCACCTTTGTCAGATCTCGGTTCAAACTGTAGCAACATAATGACTTAACAGAATCCACAATAGGAGCAGAGAGAAGGCTCAATGGTTGTAAAGGGCTTGCTGTGCAAGTTCAAAGACTAGTAAACACATCAGAGTGGAGGTACATCTGTAGCCCCAGTACTGGGAGAAAAGGGGGATCCCAGAGACTCATGGCCAGCCAGTCTACTGGAAATGGTGAGTTCCAGGGTCAGTGAGAGACCCTGTCTCAAAAATAAGGGGAAGTGTGATAAAGACACTTGACACTAACATATGCCTTCTGTTTCTTTGTGTCTCTCTCCCAACCCCAATACATAACTCCTAAAGGTCATTTATAAGGGGTCAAATGCCTAAATGTTAGAAGTAAATTTTTGTGCACATTGACTATCCACAGCATTCCCTCCTCATTTTCAGTATCTCCTCTCTTTCTTAAGTTTGGGCAATAAAGGCAGGAGAAAAAAGGTCAAAGGAATGGTTCTAAGGAAGAACACTGAATTTATGAAGTTGCCTATCTGCAGTCAATGAAATATTCTAGATGTCCACTTCTGGGTGTACTTCATTGCTACTATGTACTTATTTGGTAAGACATCTTATCTATGTGACCATTTGGTGGGGGATGTCCTTCTGTATATATGTTTCTCTTATTGGATGATGAATAAAACACTGTTTGGCCATCAGAGGCAGGAAGATAGGTGGGACTAGGAGATGTGGAGAACTCTGGGAAAGGTAGGCAGAGAGAGATCTCAAAGAGATGCCATGTAGGTCTGGGCATTCTCTGGTAAGCCAAGAGCATGTGGAAATACATAGATTAATAGAAATGGGTTAATAATTAAAAGCAAGCTAGCCAGTAAGAAGCCCTAGCCATTGGCTACCTGTTTTATAAATTAATATATGTCTCTGTGTGCTTATTTGGGGCTGAAGTGGCAGTGGGACCTGGTGGGACAAGAAACCTTCCAGCTACAACATTAAGATACTGGATATGTAGTCTCATAGTAAGAATATGCTAAGGCAACTGGTTATACTGCTTGTTAATTACATAGCTTTTGAAGCTGCATGTTTTAGAAATTTTCTTAATCACAACATCTTATAAAGAGCAGTATGATTTATATTTTAAACTTATTGTTTTAATTAATTAATTGTTCAGGGTTTAAAAAATGAAATGAAGCCTGACTAACTGTATAATTTTAATATTTGAAAATGTTTGTACACAAATTAACTTAATACAATACAGATTTGTACAAAAGGACTGCTAAAAACTTATCATACAGAAAAAAAAATAGGTCTTTTAAAAAAGGACAAGACATTTTATAAATACTAATAAACACTTTTCAATGCTTTAATTTACTATGGCAGATACAAAACTCAAGATATCATTAACAGATATACATTTAAAAAGCTACATGAATTTTCTAGCTGATTAAATTAAAATGTAACAGTAGTTGATTTTACTTTTAAAATGAGGTATTACATTGTAAACCAAAACAGCATAAATATATGACTTATTAATTAATGGTTATAAATTTCAACTTAATGAGACAACAGAAATCCCCAATATTTACGGACGTTGTCACTTAAATTTGGCTTGCTTGTGTACTTACTAAAAGTGACATATCTATCAATACACACACATCATTAGACATGCAGACCAAGCCAACACTATTTCCATGAGTCATCTCTAACAAATAAGAACTTTGTTTACATTTTACTTAAAACACTTAAATCTGGTTTCGTATACATAATTCTTTGTGCTTGTTAGTAGTAACCTACAGACATGGTACTTTCTAGTTCAAGCAGTGCAAGAGAGAAGCAGTTTTATTTGCATATGAATTAAAAACAATATATGAACCAAACCCAATGTGCCTTTAGCTTTCTGAGATTTTGAAGAACTATCCGTTTAGTATACTCAAATGGAAAAGTAGTCATTTGCGGTCTCAAGCGGCACAGGGAGGGAAGTTAGGTTCCAGCAGGTGTGGGCGGGTTTCAGAACTGTGGGCAAGCTGATGTGTTCCTGTACCCTTGAATTCTGCTGGTTGGGTGCAGGCAGCATAGCAATAAGGAAAGGCCTAGCTCGGAGAATATTTGGGCCAGGTATTAGTTGCACATGAATCATATGCTGGTTTCATTCTTATTGCAAATATTAACTTCAGAGTTTTCTGAAGAAAAGCTATCAAAGAATGAGAGAAGTCTTGAGATGGAAATGTTTGTAACATGCTAATAAAACTGCTTCATTCGCTATAACTTGAAAAAAAAACCTTGGGACTTATAAATGCAGTTTTTACATGCTACTTTATTAGAAGTAGAAAACAAGGGTACTTTTGAATTTACTATATTTAGAATCCAGTGAAAAACAAACATTTTAGCCAAAATTTCAAACTTCTCTTTTATACCAAGCACATCATTTTGACACAAATGTTTTTTATTGTATTTCACTTTTGTCAAATAACTTACCCCACATTTTCCAAAGATTAGAGTTTCCATATAACTGATGATCAGAAATATAGATAAGTTGTACATCAAAACATATAAAATGGCAGTTTTTTTTTGTGCTTGTAATTAATTAAGTAGTCAATGACTAGCTCAGTCTAATTTTCTCTAACTTGATTTTTAAGAAGAAATGACCATTGTAGAAACAGTACAGAATACTCAAGTAACCGATTTACTGCCAGGGAGCATGCTGACTAACAATACTTAAAAGAATATAACCTTGAATCCAATTGGTCTGAAAATACTCTTGTACAATCATCTTTATTGATTTGTAAAAGCTGTATACACATCTAAAACCCTAAATTTACTTTGTAAAAATAAATCTTTAGCAATAAATGGCACTATCAAAATCCCATGATTCTTAGGCTGTTATATAGTTATTTACATGCTTTTCAGCAACAGTTGAAAAGATCTTATAGGACCCCAAACCAATATATCAAAAGACCCTGTAAACTGCATTTGCAATTATACTGTTGTTTACCTTTGTATGAAAATATGGCTACATGCTTTATGGTAAAGATAATGTAGCTATCTGCTTTGCTACAGTGTGCTGCCAGCACACATTGCCACTGGGTTCTATCATGTCATAATGCATTCTTTACTGCATATGGCCATCCCAGTGGACACCTGTGATTACCCACATATGGAAAACAAAATGCTATAAAAAAGAGCACTGGACCCAGGCTTGTTTCTACCATATGCTCTTTTCTTTACTCTATTAATAAATTTCTGTTTTTTTTTAAATCATGCCTTCACTACACATATTTTGTATTTGAGTAAAATAAAAAAAAAACCCTCATAATTTTAAAAGTGGTGAGCTTTGTGAAAGTGTTTTGAAACAGAAAAATGAAAATGTTAAAGGCACAATAAGAGGGAAGTGAATGCTACATATAAAATATTGTATTTCAAGTCTTCTAGGTTACTCAAGTCCAAAACCTTCTGAATTTGAGATTCCAATTATCAGTTTCTGTTTCAGATCTTTTTTGCTCTTGTATGGGGGAAGGCAGAGTTGATTGAAGCAAGTGTGTGCCACAGGTAACCTGGGGAAAAATAAGTCTTTGAGGGATACTGTCTTAAAACACATACAAAAAATACTGAGACATTAAAAAACACTGCATATATTCAGATCTATTTTGCTGTCATGCATTGACTCAGTTCTTCTCTACTGGACAGATACTTATCAAATACTTAATTATCAAGTACATTCTAGATAGCAGGGACATGTGTACAGCATTCCTGCCTTCATTAAACTTCAATTTGAAAAGCATTTTGTTTGGAGTCAGACAGATGTGAATTTAAATACTGTTTCTCTCACTTACCAGCTGTGGAACTTTGTTCAAGTTGCCTAATGTCCTCAAATCTGTTTCCTCATGGATATGGTAAACTATGCACTTACATTAAAAGAATAAGACTGCAAGGTAGTAAACACCTAGCAGTATATTGTTAATAGTTCAGTCTTGATTGTCAGAAAGTCAAGAAAACTATTTTGGGCTTTCTTTCAAAGCTGTTGTTCTCTGCACATGAAGCCTTAGGTCCTTGAAATCTCTTGACTAGCGCCCACAACATTTTACCTGATGACAGTGTTATATCTTCATTCGAGTATCTGAAGGTATCTCAGATCCTTCTCTTCTGTTTTTTTAATGAATTCCACAGCATCACAATAGCTTTCACCAAAGTCAGTATGTAAAAATGGAGAATAAGCCAGAGAACACTTAAAGGAACTTTGTATGGTCAAAACTGATACCGAGAGACCTTACAAAAAGACAAACACTAGGTCAGGGGTTGTTTATGGAGCCTCTGGATTACCATTAGCACTGGAGCACACGTCTGATATGCATTGTTTCATTTGAAGCCCAAAGCAACCTACAACAGTTGCTATCCCAGTGTACGGATGAGGAAACCTAGACACGGGAATCTACAGATCAAGTATTCAAAGCTACAGAGCTGGAGAAGTTTGAGTTTCAAACCCAGGCTAGTGTGACTCCAAAACCAGTGCTATTTGCTAAGATGTAGAGCTTTGCCATTCAGACTCAACAGTATGAACACATCATCTTCAACAGTGTGCCTTATGGAAGAGATGAAAAAATTCTTAGTCAGAGGGAACACTGTCACTGTATTGGATGGAAATGTCATGCACCTTTGACAGTTATATTTAATCAATGTAAGGTTCCTGCTGGGACTCCAGAGTCAGAACTAAGCCATGTTAGCTCCTAAAATAATCTCTGAAGTAAAAATAATGGGAGACATTTATATTTAAGTTGCTATAAATATTCTAAAAAATTTATGTTGAACAAATAAATCTTCAAATGCAAAAACTTTTCTTGAAGTTTTCTCATTCCAGATCTTTTAATTACAATGCATACAGAAATTTCTTAATTGTATGTATGTATACACACACACACACACACACACAAACACACACACACACACACACACACACCTTTTCTTTGGCCAGGTTGGCTGTTAGGCAAGCCCCAGTGGTCTTCATATGCCCCCATCTTCCTCCAGCTCAAGGGTTATAAGCTAATGTGCCACATCTGGCTTTTTACCGGGAATATAAACTCAGATGTTTGTGCTTAACCTCTGGCCCTCAAGTATAATTTTGACATGGATTTAAATATTCATTCAATAAACATTCACTGCATGTGTGCCTACACAGCGAATAAGACACATAGGGCCTACCCTCTCTGACTTCAAGAGCTAAGTGACTACAATCTAACGTGAAACACAAAAAAAGGAATTTATCGAGAGAATGATGACTTTTTGGTGTCACAGAAGACAACATTATGGTGAATACCCAACTATGGTCATAGAACCTTCAACCAGTTATTGATGGAACCAGATGCAGAGATCCACAAGCAAGCACCGGGTTGAGCTCCAGGAATCCAGTTAAAGAGAGGAAGGAGGGAATACATGAGCAAGGGAGGTCAAGATCACATTAGAGAAATCTACAGGGACAGCTGAACCAAGCTCATGGAAACTCATGAACTCTGGACTGACAGCTGTGGAGCCTCCAGGGGACTGAACTAGGCCTTCCATATGTGGGGCAGTTGTGAAGCTTTGGATATCTGAGAGGCCCCTGGCTGCAGGACTAGAATCTATCCCTTGTGCATGAGCTAGCTTGTTGGAGCCCATTCCCTATGGTAGGATGCCATGCTCATCTTCAATGCAGGGGGAAGGGCTTGGTTCTGCCCCAACTTAGTGTGCCAGACTTTGCTGACTCCTCATGGGAGCCATTACATTGGGAGAGGAGTGGATGAGGAGGGGATTGGAAGGGAGGCAAGGTAGGGCAGGAGGAGGGGTGGGAGGGAGAACTGTGGTTAAAGGATCTTCATGAGAGGTAGCAAGCACATATCACATGCAAAGGAAACAAATCAAAGGAATGGAGGAAGTCAGGCAAAGTGTGTCTTAAGGATGATGCAAAACAGTGTGTGGGTATAAACAGAAATGATGGACTCTAGGAATGGAACTGATGGGGTAAAGCTACAATAAAGCTACTAATGCCCAGTGTGTTAGGGCCAGAGCAGTGTCATGGAAAAGAAGCTGCACAGGAACCTGGGCAGGAAGGCGGCCTTAACACAGCTGAATGAGGTGAAAAGTCACAGCACCAGGGTGGTGGCAACTGGGAAAACACAGGGCCAACTCAAGTTCTCAAATGGAAGGAATGAGATGGGAATTGAGAAAAGTTCAGTGTGTGAGCTATATTGTAATGGTTATAATGAGAGCTGTGTCTATTTCAAGCCACAGACTATTGGAGTAAGGGTAAAGAATACCAGCATTAACTACCCATTAACACCATGGTCTTTACCACTTCATATAAGCATGGGATTTAAAAGGTGGGGAGTACCAGGAGAACTTAAAGTACTAATACAATAGTTACCTCTGCCCCTTCCAAAAATCTCAACTTCATATATTTCCTAATAAAAAAACCATCTATATAAAACTGAGGGCTAGACAACATGCTACTACAAGGCAAGCGAGGTTCTTCTAAAAGAGACCACAGAGCAATCGTTGACCCAGGCATGTAAGAAGCAGATGGAAGGGGTGACCTGCAGTCCTGGGCCGTGTCAACTCTGCAGGGGGACATTCAGCCACAGTCTCTTCCATCTTAAGGTTCCATTGACCCTCAGGTATTTCACATAAAAATGACTTCAGACTAAAAGACTTTTGATTCCAAAATTAGTAATAAGCTATACATTAAAATAAAGTTATAATCCAGAGTTTACCAGTTAGTAGATGTTTCATTCTTTGAAATTTTAAAGTTCAAATCAGCCATCCCTCCCACAGGTACTCTGTCACTTCCTGTAGTGAAATGTAGCAACTTCTTCTGAAGATCAAGAGGAAATCCAAGCACAACATCCCAAAAGTATCTATAGAAGGAAATTTACACAGTGATGCAATCCTAATTAATTAGTGATACTAATAAAGTAAGCTCTGAGAAACCTTCTCTAATATGTGTTTGATAATAGTAAAAATAACATTTTATAGCATTATTTAACTAGTCTAACAGTGGGTAGCATAGAGCTCAGTTTTTGTTCTCTATATAATCTAAGTCTTATTTTTCAACATGGTGCCTGTAAAATTCTATTTATAAATTTAGCATATTTGAAAAAACTCTATACTTTGATAGAAAGTTATATAAGGGGATTGCTAAATGCATTCACATTTTAGTACTCCCTTATTTTTAGAAATGAACGAAGACAGGGTGGACTGCAGAATATTAACCTAAGAGTTCTAAGTTACACGAACAAGAAGCCACACTGGATTCTGTTCTCCCGCATCACAGCATCTGGAGCTCACCGTATAGTCGGGTCTGTTTTCGCATAGCCGTCATATTGAGTACTCCTCTGCAGAGCATGCATATCCAGCTCAGGACTTCCACAAACCAGAATTTCAACCTCTTCTGGACGAAGCAGCTGTCAATAATCATAAAAGCCATAATTTAAAATGACAGTCTTAAATGAAATTTGAACTGTTTTAATTGAAGAATCAAATAATAGAAATAAAAAAAAATGATTTTTGTTGAAGAAAATGCTTTTTGTTTATATTTTCCTACTGTAGTAAGGCATTTTATTTTAAGGGTTATATCTTACGAAGTGGTAATTAGTAGTTTGTAGAGAACAGAACCCAGCATGCAGCGACCTCATTCTTCTCCACCACGGGCGGAGCGCACCCATGTGTACAAGCTGGCTGCCCTGCCTGCCACGCTGTGGCTCCTGGGCACCGCAGAGCCTGCACTAGCCGGCCGTGTGTCGCTCACTAGCTCTCCACCTTTTAAGTGAGTTTGTTCTCACTTAGAGATTAGATCTGAGAAACAGAGAATACCATGCTATTTCATTTTTATTTTCCCTTTCTCCATCCTCCCACTACCGGAGTCATAAAAACGTAGTTACAGCTCAACAGCACTTTTCCAAAGGTACTTCTAGCAAACATGTTAGAGGTTATTCTAAACAATGGTTCTCAACCTTCTTAATGCTGCGACCCTTAATACAGTTCCTCATGTTGTGGTGACCCCCAACCATAAAGTTATTTTCGTTGCTCCTTCATGACTGTCATTTCGCTATTGTTATGAGCTGTAATGTAAACATCTGATATGCAGGGTATCAATATGTGACCCGTGAAAGGATCACTGGACCTAAAGGGCTTGTAATCCACAGCTTGAGAGCCGCTGTTCTAAAACAAGCCGTAAAGAACCAAGCTGCTTGCTCCTGCACCCAAATTAGCTTAATAGTCCATGTCTTTCTTCTTTAAAAACAATTCATATGAAAGGCTACTCTAATCATGATAAAACAGAAGGGAATACGAAAGGCGTGGTGGCATGTGCCTGGATATATGAGGTGAAGGAATCATATGATACTTAGAATACGGCATTCTAACTCTAGTTAGCACCATGAGTCCACCATGCTTCTGGAGAAGAGCTATAGACCCCAGGTTGCTGGGAACACATTCCTTACTCAGTGAGAAGGGATTTCCCCTGGAGCTAGGCACCGACTCTCCTTCTGTGCTCTGCTCCTGAGTTTCAATGTCCACTTACAGCTTTTAAAGTCCTCATTTAAGGCACAGCAGAAGGAACAAAGACCTGAAGTCACACTTTTCTCTCCCGAGAAGAAAGGCTGAAACAGCAGCACTACTGTCATTTCTAACTAGTTTTTAAAAGGAGAAAATATTTTCTAATCTAAAAAGCTCATCTACCAAGATACTTAAGGAGTTACCTGTTATACCATCACAAAACCTAACTGAAAGCTCAAAAATTTAAACTCACCATTAGGGCATTTGAAGCACACACACTATGAAATCCACAGTAAAATGCAGCAAACTGCTTATAGATGGATTTGTTCAAAAGGAAGTCTGTATAGAGTTGTACATATTCTGGAAAGCAATTTCACACCCGTTACATAGTCATAGTAAATGAAAAGTACTAATTCACTGCAATTAAAAACGACATCTAACTTACCTCTTCTATTCTGATTGGTAACTGGAATCTTATCACCCCCTGGCTTTAAGTTATAGGACTTAATTATTCCAAATTCTTCTTGAAAAACCTGATGGGCGATACCACGATATGTTTATTGGTACTGTTGATGAACACTGGGCTTCAGTGAGCAGATCTGTAGAACAGTTCTGTCCCTCCCTTTAAACACAAAACTGCCAAAAGCCTAAACTTTCTGTGACATTTATATATATATATATATATATATATATATATAAGAAGAGGTGTCATTCTCAGGTAAAAAAGCAGGTTCCTGTTAAATACAATGAAATACTTTAACGAAGCCCACAAAACTTGTATGGCAAGAGAGAGAAGTGGAAAGGAGTGTTTTGGTCTGGCTCATTAGCTTCTCCTAAACTTCCTGTGTAGAGGTGATGGAGTAGGCCAGTTTTGGTAAAAAGCAAACCAGTCACAGGAATATGCAACTGCTTAGCAGAGTGCCATGCCCTTGATGAATTCATTTCTGCATGCTCATTTGCACGTGTCTGTTCTACTGTCTCTATTACATTACTAGATTTGACCCTTTTCAAATGAACTGAGAGGGTCTTTCTGTGTGTCCCAGGCTGTCCACAAAAGCCCAGATTTTCCTGAGTGCCAGGACCCCTGCTGCACTACTACACAACACTTAAGATCCTATGTATGGACTGGTTCGCATTCATCCAATAGCAAGTGTTCAGTAACAAATGGCATTTTCATACTAAGAAGTACAGCCAACAAACAGAGTATGCTCTCATCAGTACCTGGAATGTTGAATAGAAATCTTCTTCAACATTGCCTTCATATGATAAGAGTTCCTTTAATCCATGAGCCAATTCCTGTAAGAACATGTGTGATCTGTCAACTAGCATTCCTTCAGATTGTAAGGAGGCAGACTGTGAGTCCCTTACCTGTGAGGCTACAGAGTAAACTCATATTTGAAAACAAATATTTGAGATATGATACTTGTTAATGATTTTTACCACCCACAACTTGGAAAAACTGAAGTTCATACAGGAGGAAATTACTTGGTTCACACTAGAGATCTAACCCTACGGCTCGTTCTTAAGCAAGCAGGTGTTGAGCTCGACTATGATTTCCAGTGTGATCCCTGGTTCTCGGCCACGTTACTGTTTATGGATCTGTAGTGCTTCACACAGACACACACACACACGTATGTGTGTGTGTGTGTACATATGTATATATATATATTTTCATATTCTTAAAAGTGTGCTACTATCTTAAGACACACTGTTTAAACATTAGTCATGCATTTCACATATGCTACGGGCTTACATTACACACTTTAGATATCATGTGCTCCTCCCAAGAAAAGCCTGAGTATGTTGTAAGAAAATATTTCTTCTTACAAGTTTAGTTATTTATGAATAAGATCATAAAAGTAGAACTGGCTCAATATTTAATTTTTTTCAAGCTTCATGAAAAATTACTTTTAGTCTATATTAAATTATTTGAAAAGATAAGTCATGTCATGGGTTGCAATAATCTTATATACTTTACATAATAAATTTCTATTCCATTAAAGGCACAGGACTGAGGGCCTTAGATCTGGCAGGATGGGGGTGATTTTTTCATGATTACTGCAATATGTATATGACCCATGACCACCAACTGTAAGAAAGACACAATGCAGTGGTAGCATACACAAAGAGACTGTGGAACTCTACCATCAGAAATGGATGGAGAGCAGGGCCCAGAACCTGACTGACAACACAATGCCTGCATTTCAACAAGGAATGATACTTCCAGCTCCACTCTCTGCTCCTCCTCCTGCAGGGTAATTGACCCTAATTCTTCCTAGTCGCCTGGGTCCTCATCTGGTACAGTGTCCACACCCCACATGGGAAGTCTTCCCATGACGCCAACAACAGGTCCTTCTCCTGGCATGATGTCTACAGGACCTGCTCTTGGAATGAGGCCTCCCATGGAGACCACATGCCCATAGTTCCCAAGTCTTCAATGATGAGACTGCCTGCTTGCCCCATGACGGTGCCTACTCATCCTGGCATGGCTTGACTGGATGGATAACAGCAGAGGGGCTCTTTATCAGTTTTCTGTTACTTGTTTGGTTTTGTCAGAAGATCACAGTGCTGCATCTGAGTGTTTTCTAGGGGTATGCCAAGGGAGACTTTTCCCCATTCCTAGCAAAGAGAATAGTCTTGCATGGGAGAAGTGGGATTAAAAAAAAAAAAGTAGTTTTCACTTGTATTGTAAAATGTGAAAATAAAATTGTTAATTTTTTTTAAAAATCTTGAAAACACACATTTTAATGCAAATCTAGGCTGGTAGAGATTTGATATGCCTATCACCATTAAAAAGATTTATTTTAAATTATGTGTATTTGTGTAAGCCTCTATATAAGCATGTGCACATGTGTGCTGGTGTCTGCAGAGGCCAGGTGTTGGATCCCCCAGAGGTGGCCTTACAGACAGTTGTCAACATTCTGATATGGGCACCAAGAATGAACCTGGGCATTCTGCAAGAGCAGTAAGTGCTCTTAACTGGTGAGACATCTTTCCAGTCCATCACTTGTTTTTATTAACTAAAATATCCTATTATTCAGATAAGGACATTAGTGCTCAGAGAGGTTACATACTCACCCAAATTCACAAAGCCAGTAAGTGGCATGGTCTGTATTCAAATAAATGATCATCAGACTTAAAAATCTGTTCTGTAAGCGCTTAAGTTCATTGCAAAATAGGTGACTATCTCCATTAGCAAGATGGAAAAGAGGTCTAAAAGGGAAGCTCTATTTTAAAGTAAGAATAGCATTAGAAGACTGTATGAAGAGGCATTTATCATTACATGACTACGATATGTTAGTAACATACTTACTGGCATAATCTGACACAAGTCATCAATGGTAACACTGCAGATGCCTACTGGTATATTCTGATCACTGGGTACGATGGGAGGGCTCAGCAATTTCTTGTAACAGCAGGGAGGAAAACGAATATCCAAGGTGATGCTGTTATAAACAGCTAGTCCCATGAGCTATGCATACTAAATGTTAAGTATTAACATAAAATCCATGACAACAAATGAGTTTTGAATTACGCATCTGTCTACTTCTTACATACTTCCTTCAGATCTAATGCTGACTTTCTAATTAGTCCAACACACCTTTCTTCTTTAATTTTTCTTTATTTACATACTATAATTCCTGATTAACAAAAACCATGGAAAATGTGTTCATTTAATACAGTTTAGTGATTTCAGGCATCACTATAAATTATTTAATATATAAAAATTGCTAAATTTAAGCAAGTGGTTTTATAAGCAGCACCAAGAATTCACTGCAGAATACAGCACTGATTTTAGAAATTGCCATATTTAGCCACTTAAAGCTCAAATATGACTATGTTAAAGGAGCTAGAATGAATAAGCATACAGATGTACAAATACTGCTAATGAGATAATAGTATAAGTAGACTCATAAAACTTGAAGGGCTCCAGTTCAGATATCTTATTTATTATAAAATTTGTCTACTCATATAGCTGAAGGTAACACCCATTTGCTCAAAGAGGGGGTTTAAATCAAATTTCTTAGTATTTAAACAGGCAGTTACCATATTAAAGTTACTTAAAAAGTAATTCATTTTAAAGATTCAAAGGAAACCCAAACACATGGGCCTAGCAAATTGCTGTAAACAATCTGGAATACTGTCAATCAATTTGCAAAGGCAGAATGAGGATGGCGACATAAGGAAACAGATACACTGTTTTCTAAGTCACCATGTAGGCTAGTGTGGAAGAAGAAAATACTGGAAATATTTCAAATATACTTATATAATCAGGGTAGTAGCAATGGTGATAACCATAATACAACAGTATTGTAATTTATAATTCTCTACTATGGCAATAGCTTCTGAACATTTTTCATTTAAAAATTTAGGTGCTAGATTCCTAAAGCCTAAAGAAATAGGCTTTGCTACAGAGCCCTCTCACAAACAGAAATACTTTATTTCACACTAAATCAACCAATTCTCGCTGAAACAGGGATAGGATAATTTTTCTATTGGTGTCACTGGAGTGACAGCCCTGTGCTGTCAACACCCTGAAAACTTACACTGTACTATATTGTCTCTACTCTCAGTTTCTATATCTTTTTTGGTATAGGCAATTTTACTTTCAAAATGTCACTGTATTAATGTTCTTGATATAATCTTTATAATAACTTACCATCATTATTTTGTGTTTTATTGCTCTATTTCTTATAAACACCTTATCATATTTAAAGATCTTACCATGCTGAAAAATAACTGTAATTATATACTAAATAATTGTGTGATTATAATTTTAGACACATTTGTTCAACCTGAGATATACATATAAGAACATGTTTCTTATGATCTTTTGGGTAGTAATTGAATAAAAACTACCAATATTGTGAAAGATGACTGCAGTTCACAATTTTATGAATTGTACAATTCCAAAAGTGTAATAGCTGACTTTATTAAAAATATTAGGAAGTCAAAATACATCTCTGAGCTATGACATAAGGACTGCAAGGAATAATAACCACAGGCATCAAGAAGTCCAAATAGGTCAAGTTAGTCAAAGGTACCAGGGACACACTCCAGTGAGAACTGTAAATGACGGAACACAGGAATCCATGCATTGTTCAGCATTCTTGGGTATCATGGAATCTTTTGCTTTGGACCTTGGATAGGGTAATCTATAAAACACTTTAAATTAACTTGCCTATCTCAATGTATAGTATTGTTTCTTGCTACTTTTTGTTTTGTTTACTCTATCATATACATCGTCAGAATTTAATCACAATTAATACAACATGGGCCTTAAGTGGGTAGCTGCTCAGTATTTCCCAAAAGTTCCAGTGTGATTGCTGCCTAATCCATAACAACTCAGCCTTCTATTACCTTCATTATCCTCTCAGCTTAAGTTCCTATCTTTTCCAGGAAGAATATAATACCACATCTTTTCCACCTCAGGACCACATCACACTTACTTTTATGCTAATCTTGGTTTTTAATGAAGTCACAAACCCTTTAGTACTTATCAATGCCATGCTGCATGGTCCTCTGACTGAGAATTAACCGCCCTACATTGACGGACATCTATTTGTTTAGATGCTAAACTTCTCAAAGTTGAATTTTTCTCTCTTAACCCACACATCTTCAGCACTTGATCATCTATTTTTTCTTCCTTTATTTCCCACAATTATATTTCTTGGAATTTAAAAAGCTAATGTACAAGACATCTTGTCTAATATCTAATGTCTCTTGAACTCTACCAATGAAGGAATAAATTACACAACATACCTGAGATAGAGATGACAGGATGGTAAATGGATTCATAAAATTAAAAAGTCACAAAATAATAATGTATGTTCTAAATATTGCCCATTGCATTTACTTTTTACTTTTTAGGGTCTCAGGATTTCAGGTACATTAAAAAAAATAGATTTAATTCTTGCAATTAATTTCAATTTAGTAAGCTGAGCAAACTGAGCACACAAACACAGACACACACAGACACACAGAAACACAGAAACACACACACACAAAACCAAGAACACAAAATACTTTATTACAAATGGAAAATACTGTAGATTTAAAAACAGTTTTATATTTTTGATATTTTGATATTAGTAATCATTTTGAGATGAGAGAGAAAAATGTTAAACTCAGCCATTTTTATTAATGTACTGAGCCTATGGCTATGGAGGTGTGATATTACATATTAGACAGATTAGGGAAAATCTAATTAATAAATTTGATAATGTTTAATTTTCTAAAACAACATTTTTCTAAAATACAGATTGAAAAACAAACAAAAAAAAATCTTAAAAAATATCCCTTAGTCTAGTAGCACCTCCTAGTGGAAAGTTTAAAGGATACAATTCCAACCAATCGGAATTCAGAATAGTTATCACATTTAAAGCTGCTAAACCAATGGCAGTTCGAATCCTTGTGGTATGTAAACATGCCTGCAAAGAGGAAACACAGTTTGTTCATAAGACAAAAAGCAATGGTAAAACATGATATCTACCAAAAGTAAATAATTCTAGCAACAGTTCTGTTACAAACCATCTTTTATGTTAAAAATTTCACATAATATATTTGCAAATCTTAGTAAAATATACACAGAAGGCATTTTACTTTTCTTTGATATTTTGAGTTGAGGATAAAAGGTATAAATAAATAACTTCATAAAACTATAGTTTTATAGCTTATGAGCAAAATAAATTTTGAGCATTATGTACATAAATACTTCAATCTATCTTTGCCAACTCTGTCTTATATCATCAGATTTTACATATGTACCTATGATATCTATAATATGTATGATTTGTGTACCCTATAAAAATAGAAATTCTCCTTTGAAGGAAAACATTCAATAGACACCAATAATTATGTAGGCAGTTTCTCTATACAAAATAAAATAAAATTTGAAGACTTTTGTCCTTAAAACAATTAACTTTTGTCTGTTTGTGCTATATACATGTGTGCACACATGTTTGTGTGTGTGTACCTGTGTGTTCACATGTTCATATGTGTATGGATGCTACAGTTTCATGTCAGGTGTCTTTCTCAGGCACGTTCTACCTTATTTCTGAAACAGGGTCTCCCACTGAATCTGGAGTTCACCAGTTAAGCTAGACTCATTGTCTAGCAAGCTCTAGGGACCTACCCATCTGTCTCCCCAGTGTTGGGACTACAGAGGAGTGATGCAACTTGCTTCTCACATGGATGCTGGGATCTAAGCTGAGACCCTCAGGCTCACATGGCCAGCACTTTACTGACTAACCATCTCCACAGAACACAGACTTCTATTTCTTAAAACAACTCACCATTTAATGAAAGAAACTTCACAAACTGTTGTAGAAGAAAACGATACACTTGTTTTAAAATACTGAATGTTCTTTACCTCAATGGCACACTTTTATGCATTTGGTTTATTTAAGAGATTTTCAGTTAACTCTGAACAAGTTCTTTATTTAAAACTCATGAAAATGTCAGGGCTGCTACTGGATTCCAACAAGCCCGGGGAGACACTGGTCACAAACATTACACACTCACCATAATCTGGATGGAAAATCTGGCGAATTAGAAGAAGGAACCATTCTTTGGTCAAGCCACCCATATCCAAACCAGCTTCACCTACAAATGTAACTTTCAACTTCTTCTTCAAGTCTGCTCTTTTCCGGGTTAACTATTTGAAGAAGTTATGTAGTAAGGGAGAATAAAGGGCAGTGAAAAGGAAATTCATTTATTTTTTAATTTGGGGAACAATATTACACAGACTTTAGCTTATTTTTACTTCCATAAACATCCATCCATCCATCCATCCATTCATCCATCCACCCATTCATTCATCCACCCATCCATCCATCCATCCATCCATCCATCCATCCATCCATCCATCCATCTATCCATCCACATGTTGCTAGACATGATAAGCTAGGTATTACTATATTTTATAGATTAGAAAAAAGAATTAGAGGTCAGATGCCTTAATGAAAGTTACAGTCCCCAACAATTAGAATGCATCCAAAATTTTAATTTAGTATATAATAATATAAAATAACTTTTTATGCCCACTTTCTTTTTCAGCACTACATTAAAAAATGACATGAACATATATATCAGTCACTATCTCATCTTAACTACATGATGGTCTGACTGCAGCATGTACATGCAGGAAACCTTGCAATATACATATATGGGTCAATGTTTGCAAGAATCTAAATATGTCCAATATACTCCTATAGGTCAGACCTGTAAGTTTATAGATGAGCAATCTGAGATCTGAAGAATTTAAAATGACTTGTTACACATCTAATCAGAAAGAAAGATGGGTGGGTCTAGAACCCAGGTAACATACTAAGAAACATGAATTATGCATTTAAGTAGCCTATATTAACTCCTCTAAGGACTTAATCAACTATTAATAAGCATTAAAATGAAATAAATCTTACTTATATAAAATTTAACTATATCAGAATTTTTGGAAGCATATATATTGACACAGAAATAATAACTTAATAAAATTTTAGCAATAAATGCCATTTTGGAATAAATTATACCTCATCAAGTGAGTCGCTAACCAGATGTGTCCGCCTTACTTTCATATTTAGGAATAACATGTTCATGTCAGGTCTTTGTCTTCGAGAAACTTTATCCACCAGACTTTGCTATTTAATAAGAAAGCAAACATTTTCACTTTTATTTAAACTATAACTTCATTTAAAACATATTAGTCAAGATAGCTCAACTCTTGATTATGCTATCTCTCATAAATAATCCATAGATGACTCATAAATCAACTACATACATTTAGCTTGTGAAACATTATTACTTTATTTTGGGACAATGGGAGCCAGTGGGCACCAAAATCTTGCTCAATTTTTATAGTGAGGAGGCTGCAATGCAATTTCCACAGGTCTAAAGTTTTCTGTGTAATAAAAGGGGGGCATTCAGCTGGGTGGTGGTGTCACAAGCCTTTAATCTAAGCAATTTAGGGAGGCAGAGGCAGGCAGATCTCTGTGAGTTCAAGGCCAGTCTGATCTACAAAGTGAGTTCTAGGGCAGCCAAAGCTACACAAAGAAACCCTGTATCAAAAAATCCAAAAAGGGGGAGAGCATTTAAACCAATTCAGGTATTTCTAATGATAAACCTGGGCTTAATCTATTTTAGATAGTGAATTTATTTGAAAAAGAATAGTCTAGAAAGTAAAGAATTAATGTATCTACAGATGTCAGAGACGTTAGCAATGTTCGGACCTTTTGCTTGACTAGATAGCTCCACTTTTGGGAAGTTTAAAGATTAGAAAAATATTTTAGTGGTGGATCTCTACACCTGCTTCCATCAGTTACTGGAAAAAGGCTCTATGATGGCAATTAGGGTAGCCATCAACCTGATTAACTCCTGGAGTCCAGTTGTAGAGAGGGAGAAACAATAATATGAGCAAAGGGGTCAAGACCATGATGGGGAAAACCCACAGAAACAACTGACCCAAGCAAGTGGGAGCTCCATGACTCTGGACTGACAGCCGGGGAACCTGCACAGGGCTGAACTAGACCCCCTGAATGTGGGTGACAGTTGGGGGGCCTGGGAAGTTTATGGGCCCACTATCAGTGAGACCAGTATTTATCCCTAGTGTATGATCTGGCTTCTTGGAGCCCATTCCCTACGGAGGGATAACTCTCTCAGCGTAGATACAGGGGAAGGTCTAGATCATGCCTCAAATGGTGACAGACTTTGATGTTTCCCCATGGAAGGCCTCACCCTCTCTGAGGATTGGATTGGGGGGGTGAGGTGGGGAGAAGGTAGGGGGAGTGGAAGGCGAGAACTGAGATTGGTATGTAAAATTAGATTCTTTTAAAAAATAAAAAAAAATTAAAAAATATTTTATTTCACAAGATATCCATAAAAATATTAGTCATACAAGCAAAGGTTAAGAATTAACCTAAGTAGATCTAGTTAATGGCATATAATGCAACTACTAAAAATGAGTAGGAAAACTATGCAAACAGTTCAAACAAGGATCAAAATTATGTATATAACACTGCCTTATCTCTGTTGACTTTAAAGACTACCGAAAGAAAATTTACCAAAATGTTAACAACAGATATACCGGGTGATACAGATATGAAGTATCTGAAAAAAATGAATTTTTTATGCTTCTTCAAAACTATAAGCACTGAGTATATAAAAACCAACATATCAAAATGTATAAGAAATATATGAATATAATATTTACTTATGTAGATAGTGATTACCAGACTATTTCACTGTCTTTGGTGACAATGAGGATGAATTCTGTGCAGATAAGAATGAATATTTTAGACATCTGAAGTATAGTAATTGCATGCCCAAATCTATAGAATTTGAGACTTCCTCCAGGCCTCTAATCTCCAATGTTAAACGCAGAAGCATTTTGCTTTTCTGGGTCCTGACTTACCAAGGAAGTCTGTGTTCCCGGACAGTGTCTATGTAACAGATCTTTTGCCTTACCCTTCTCTTCCTGTCTTTACCGCTAAGTAGCTGTCACATATCAACATTTACCCTGACGCTAATGGAGACAAGCTTAGCAGTTCTTTCCCCTGGAAACATGTATCTGCCACAAAAACGCCCCAAGTAAAAGAGGTCAAGGAAGGTAGAAATTTTGACAGTTTTATAGAACTTATTTCATTTTGCAATTTTAGACTATAGCATAAGCTGTGTCAAAAGAGTCACCATCATCAATTCAAGTGGCATGATAGGAAGAGCCTGTGAGAACTAACAATACCTCCTGAGTCTTTAGTCTCTACCCTCTCTCCTGCCCATGTTCTATGAAAACATATCTGCAGCTCTCCTTTCCAGTAGAAGAAATGCAGCACAGAATAACATATGATTCTTTAGGCATGAGTGGCATGGAACTGCTAGAGAAATCTGGATGAACTGGCCCTATCTATTTTACTCAAACTATAACAAACCACATAGCCAAAGTGGAAAAAAAAAAAGAAAAAAAAAAAAAAAAAAAAAGACATGTGACATAGAAATAATGCAACTAAGCCAAAATGTCCAGATGACTAGCCATACAGATTAACCCTTGAGCCAGTATCTGGTGTTGAATATATCCAATTAGACTCATTCTAATGGGGCTGTGTGGCTTTGGAATTCTCTTTGGAGCCATAGGTAATACAATTTCTTCTAATGTCCTCATACTCAATGCAAGCTGATTTTTGGGGCTTATCAGGCACCAAAACCTTTGTCCTTGTCCGTGAGAGAGAAAAAAAAAAATCTTGGAACTAAATTGCTGAATAAACAATTCTTATTTTTATATTTTGAAATATAATTTATACTTTGCTCTTATGCTCTTGAACAAGACATGGAAATAATTTGTTTACTCTGTTTCTTTCTATTTTAAGACTACAGCCAAGCTTTTCTTTAGTTTTTAAAAGTGTATAGAGTCTTGTTACACTGTAGGAGCCTGAGATGCACAAGTGTGTACATGAGCAGTCTGGCTCTTACTTCCTGTGCTATACTGAACACAGTGCTAGGTAGTACTGAGGCCCAGGAATAAACTTCATTTTGCTGCACAATTTTCCAAAAGTCTGTCCTATTTTTTTGTAGGTTTTCCATGCACTGAGAAGCAATAAAAATACTTGACTTTCTTTGAGCATATTTCTTAGACCTCTAAGACAAATACTTAGGGTTATATCATCTAATGTTTTGGTTGTTTCTGATTTTCACGAATTCCAGAGAATGCTATAGGGTGAGTGATTCGTGTTAACGCCCTTCTGGTCCATCATGATTTTCAGTGATACTTCTCTAGCTACCTGGAATAGTAGCTCTATATAAAATGAATTCCAACAAACTCTTCAATTTTGGGTCTATCAGAAACATTTCCACTGTATTTATAACATAATCAGACGCTGACTAGATGAGGGGTGTTCTATCACCCATATTGTGAACAGTTACCTTGTGGGAGTAATAACATAAATTATATTTTCAACAATTCCTGATTACACTAAAACAATCACAAGACATTTAACTTATTTATTATTTACTATATTGATTATAGTCAGCATAAATAGGTTTCATAGCTGGCTTACCCTTGCGATGCTTATCATCTGTTGTTCTGAGTCTCTCTGAATAATGATTTTTTTTGCAGCTATAGAAATAACGAATGGGTACTGACAGAAGGAAAACCTGCTCAACAAGCGAAAACAGAAAAGGCAAAATGGTGCATTTTTAGCAAAATTACACTAAGGGAATCTAAGGTACCCTCCTTGCATTATAAAACATTCCTTTTGTATGGTGTTTTGCCATTTACAAAAGATTTTATGTGCATGATTTTATATCCACAAACCTATGAAAAATCATTCCTAGAAGTGCAGTGCCTTAATTCTCTATAGGAAGCCACAGCTAACTTTCTAAATATGTGATAGTCACTTACATTATTCACACAAATCATTTCCATTTTCATAATCACCTATCATCTGTGAAAAACATGGCTAACAGCAGGATCAGGAGGCAAAAATGTTGAAGTTGGACAAAATATTTACATGTTCAAATGACTGTGAAATTTAATATTCAAGGACTATTTCTGATGTACAAACATCAGAAATAAAGAACTATAGCAATAATTATAGCATACAAAAGCAGTCAAATTTAAGAGCAATATAATAAAAAATTAGAAAAATGTTAGCAGTACTATCAATGATATAAAAATATGAAATGCACCTACATAAAGATATAACATTGTTATTCAAAGGGTATGGAAATAACCTGGCTCCCAGATCAGAGTTAAGTCTTACACTATATATGAAAGCAACAAACTACACATACATAAATGCATGTGGAAAGAATGAATACAGTAGCAGTGATACTTTGCGAGTTGGATTCCCACCAGAGGGGAATGCAGTGTAGGCTGGAGTAGAGCTCAGTGGCAGAAGTAACTGCAACAAATGCATCAATTTTGGTTGTAACTCATCAGAACATAAGAGGTGGTATATCTGTGACCACTGGTTGCAAAGAAGACATGAGAAAGAAGAGACAGCCCCATGTGCTGAGCATTAGATAGCTTTGATTCTGATTCCAAATTGATAATAAACACAACTTTCTAGCACTAGTAATAATAGTAGTAATAACAGTAGTAACTGAATGATTAAAGCTAACTAAAAGTCTAGAAATAAAAGAAAAAGCAATAAACTTAAAAAGAATATATGTTGGTTCATTATATACTTTAAAACAGTGCTTCTCAACCTTTGTCATTTTGGTACATACACATAAAAAAAAAAAAAAACAACCAAAAAACAAAAACAAACTATGTTCGTGAAATACCTAGATAGGCACCTCTGGGTCAGTAGTGATTTGCCCTGAGGTCCAGGTGCCATTCTAGATTCCGGCTGACTGCCAATGGCAGATGGGATCAACTGGAACACCTGTGGGGCACTGTTGGGACACTGCCCTGTGACTGGAAGGAGCTCTGTGTTAAAAGTGTCAAGGAAACAATGCAACTCTTAGTTGTTTTATGGCCACAATTATATAAAAAGATGAAGGAAAGCATCTTTGTAAAAGAAACTCTACCAAGAAAATATTCCTCTGACTGACTACAGTCTTGAGAAAAAGTTGCTTTTCAGTTTTGATTGTTCATATGAGCACTGAGATTTGATCAGAGGGCCATTATAAATTTTAGGCCAATTCTGGTAGAGTTCCTGGAAAGCTTAACCAATCCATGGGTTTATCTGGGCTCTATATCTATAATTATATCTCTTCACCTCCCTAAGAAAAAAGAAATCTGCACATTGCATGTTTGGGAAATAAATTATTTTTGGGATAGGACTGATAATTTAATCCAAATGTGGATAAAAAGTATAGAGCTTTCAAGAATTTTGCCAAGCAGTTTGAATATTGGTTGCATTAAATAAACTGTGAAGCTCCTTTTTCTGAAATATCTATTCTTTCTACAAATAATTCACAATCACTATCTGGGTGCAGACTAAGGGAGAAGGAGTGAATGCGCATTAAGTGGCCCAATGTGTGTGACAATGAAGTAGATTAAGCCCTGGTACATTATGTCCTCCAAGACAGTGTTTGTAAAGTAATCTGGAACATTCACAGCTATTCATTTGCAGTTCAGTTGCAGAACTGAAAATATTTATCTTCTAGTCCTTTAGAGAAAAAAAAAATAAGCAAGTTGCTCCTTGTGGTAGATGATAGCATATAGAGTAATAAGCTCCAAAGATATTGTATATCACTGAAGAACCATGCTGTTCTTGAAAAGACATTAATTAAAGCAAAACGATATTATCATGTGTATAAACTGAAAATGTAGCAAAAGTAAAACCCTGATGGACACAATGACATTTAAAGCTATGTATCTAAACAATATATGTTTCTATGTACAGGATTTATATTATTTATAATATAGACTTAAAATCCAGTTTTTATTTTAAACAGCATTTTGTTAGGTAGATGAGCTGTTGATCCTACCTGTGAGAATTTCCAAAGCTCTGCCAAGTATGATACTCTTCCATGAGATCAATGTGATCCAAGGTAGAATTATAGAAATCAGTGTAAGGAATAAGGGGGGGATGAATCAAATTGTTGGCAGTATCTGTGAAGAAAAATTTTCATATAGTGCTCTTTTCCAACATGGGATTCATTCTAATAATAAACACATTATTTAGTGTCTATTGGCCAGCTCTAATTTAACCTACTGTTTTAAATCCAATGAGTAAAGCTATTTTTAACACTGGTCAAAATGCAGCTATTCCTTACTTTAAAGAAAGCTTGTGATGAGGATCACAAAAGTATTTAGAGGAAAGTGCAGATGCTCATCTACTCATCATTTCCCCACCAGTGCTGTCTCTTGCAGGGCTCCTCAGGATTAGTGCAGGGCTTCTCAGGGTTAGTGCGAGCTCATGTTTTCTCAGGGATTAATACTTGGTGGGTCATATGTTCTTAAGACCATAATATAAAACACTGCAGACACAAAAGCTTTTTCCAGTTTGGTAAAACATTTGTAAATTTAAAAATTACATACTGTGAAATTCATAAACAAAACAGAAAATGATTTTTTTATTCAAAATAATGGTTTAATAGTTAAAGCTGCCCCTCTGGTACTCAGAGACCCTGAAGGTGTCTCTGCTACTTCTCAGGAGACAAGTGAGCGTGAGTGAACAGCAGAACCTACTGAGTAAAGCCAGCACTTTGGAGGCTGATGGGATCCACCAGGAACACTTTGTCAGAGGTGGAAATTCTTCCGGCTTTGCCGGAAACAGGCGCAGAGAAATGAACTGCAGGAGCCTCTCTACCAGCTGCTTGAATTTCTTCTGGGATAATCTGGTAAAGATTTAGAAATAATTCCAATCAAAATTTTCATTTACTTTGTCAAAATATTTGTTAGAGATCAAACTACATCCTATACACACAGAATATAGACTATTCATTCAATCCCTCAAATTATATTTATTAAGTTGACAACATTTCAAAAGATATGAAACCCTACCATGAATGCTACTTCTCACATAAGAAATGAACACTGAAATTACGGCAGTGTCATTTATATAATTTTACGGTTCTCGGTATTCACTCAGTTTCATTATTCACAGACCCTATACTTGAAGACTAATCTGGATGCTAACATTTATCCCTTACCCCACAGGTCAGCACTTGTGCTTTCGTGGCTGTTTGTGACATAAAACAATGGTGAGAACGCTGACTCGTCTGGCATGCCCAAATGAGGGTCAGCAAGGCAGTGCTAACACTGTCAGCTCTCAGATCGGAACCCAGTGTCCCTCTAGTGTAGTAACAGGGCTTTCATATTTTTTGTGCTTTTTTGATGATTCTGTTATTTCAAAACATGGTCCTCCAGGCAGGCATGACAGTGTACACCTGTAATTCCTATAAATGAGTTAGAGGTCTGTTGGGATACATGGTAAGCTCTAGGCCAGCCTGAGTTACAGAGAGCCTGTCTCAGAAACCAAAACCAAAACCCCAACTCCTACATCGTAACAATTAAGTACTGGCCAGTTCTGATGAGCAAAGATGTGATGCTTTACGATGTGGTGTGTTGTATAAAGAAAATGTGTGTGTTACAGCTGTACTGGCATGGCTTATAGTGCAATCATCATGATATCAATTTTACCGGGAAGTTTATGTGGGATGAAGTCAAGCATCAGCACTCACAAAGAGGATGCTCAGGGAGGGAGCAGACAGGACTGAATCAGAGGCACCTAATAAACCACCTCTGAGCAAAGGCTCAGTGATGTCTGCCGCCTTATCACTGACGGTGACTTTGTAAGCACAACTAGTGTGAATAATGAGAACCGACAGCATTTAAGTTAATTTGGAAATATTTTGCCCTTTTAGCTTTTACCCACCACAGAGAAAGGTCTGTTGATGTAAATATAGTTCTGAGGGGAAGAAGTAATATGCTTTTGCAATCTAGTATTTTTAATAAGGCAAAGAGACAGTATTACATATATAGTAAGATGTGTTAAATATTAACAGAGAGGAAATAAAAAGATACACAGTAAAACAATGGCTGAGTAAATCCAGTTGAGATGTATAAAAAAACCCCATAAATATGCTATATAAAAATCACAAGTGGTAGATATTTCAACAATTTTCACAAAAAACATGGTTACTTAATTAAAATCAGATTTTTATGTATCTTTTATGTATTACTGAAGTATACATTTTATAACTGGCTTTTGAAGCATTTCAAAGTATAAACATCATTCCTAAAAATCTTCAAAATATTCAAATATGATAAAGCTTTACAGTAGTTTATCATAAAATTAATAATATCACACTTAAAGCTGAGAGACTATGACAAGTCTTAATATTGCAGAATGGTTTACTTTTTAAGCCAGTGAACTAGGAAATGATGGTCAGCTTCCACTAGGGTAGCTATCTGTCGTAGCAAATGAGCATAGATGACGTATGTAGATGTGATATTAAATTGAGGATTCTGAAAAAGATATTAAAGATAAGTGTGTTAAAATTGTGTTAACAAGGAAACCATAAAGCTTAATGAGTTTTAAGTGGCAAATTCAGGAAGCTACATTTGAGCTTCTGCAGTTCTTTAAAAACAAGTGACTTGTTTATTGAAGCAAGACTAGTGTCACAGGCTTTGCACTTATGGCAGATCTAGGTCTGAGGGATGATCCTACCACATATTAGCTGTGTGCCATTAGGTACAATTTTAAAACTTTACTTTTCAATTTCCACAGCTGTAAGATGGAAATAACATCTACCTCAAGAGTTGTTTTGAGTTTTAAAAAAGAAAACACATATAAAGCACTTAGATTCATCTTTCATAAATGCTGGCAATCACTATTATCCAATTAAATAACAAGAAAATAATGTGGGTTTTCTTGACTTAAAAAAAAAAAAAAAGGAAAACGGATAAATGCTAGTTGTAAAACTTTTGCACGGGGAAATGAATCAGCTGTATATGTCACAAGAATAAACATGTACTCTGACCACTTTTCAGTGTTAAAGGACTGAAAAAATAATCTCAACTAAGCAAAACCCAATGATTATCTTTCTAAAGGCCCATGCTCTATGACATTTCAGAAATGTCTGTAAAAGTCACTATTGTTAAAGTCAGGTGCTGGCTGGAGAGATGGCCTGGTGGTTTAGAGTGCCTGCTGCCTTCCAGATGGCCTGAGTTTGGTTTCAGAACCCAGAGCTGTGTGCAATGCTAGTCCCGGGTATGTGGGTAGCCTTCATGGGCACTTCACGCATGCAGAATGCACACACATATACACAAATTAAAAAGTAAAACTACATCTTTAAATATTAACCCAACCACGATAATGATGAAAAAGAGAACACTGTTTTTTAAACTGACTGACAAGCAGGAGTGAAATTAGGTGCTGACCACTTACTCCAGCTACAGCTCTGGGAAAGGGTGATGTGTGGGCAGAGCTTACAGTTGCTTAACATACTGTTTTATTATAGCTGAGCTTCACGGTGTCATTTTCTCTCTCTGCATGTTTCCTGTTTTTCTTCCAGTTTTGATGCTTTTCTTATTTTTTTCTTTATCTTTCTCCTCATGCTTTCCCATTTTTTTTATTTTTTCTTTTGTCTTCCATGTTTCTTTTATTGAACATGATACTGATAATATCATAATACTGAGATAAACACTGGAACTTAATATCTTTATCTTTAAATGAGTTAATATACCCAAATAATTTGGTAAATTATAAAGAATGATGCAAATATGTTAAATATGATAACATACTTTTCCAAAATAATTCAAAATTAAAATTTGTTTTTTTATATTTTTGAATCTGCCTCTCTCTGATGAGGAAGCAAGCATCATTTTGCTTTGTAACAAATATAACAACTTTATGCTTCTACTACAATTCTAATAAACCTTACTGAAAAATATAGACAAGTTGGAAACTGAGGATATGGGAAAATTCTGCAGCCTGTCCCATCCATTAATTAAAGGAAAGAGTGTGAGTGGAGAGGGAAGTACATTCATTCTGTTTGTACCCAACACTGGAAAGTAGGCAAGAACTCACTTATAATTTAATACCTCACATAATTTAGCTTCTGAGGATTTGTTATAATGTTAGTCTTTGAGTTGCAAGTAACTATTACTCTAAAGAGTATTCAACAGTTCTCACTTACCTGTAACAGTATAAAATATGCTCTAAGATCATCTTTTGTTCGTGGGCTGAAACAGGAACATGCATGACTGATTACAGATGAATGCTTAATTTCATAGTATCTAACAAAGACATGACCATTACATGTGTTTGTAAGAACTGAGAAGCCAAAATGAATTTGAATGTACATGCATTATTCTTATTGACATAGTAGCATGTCTCTAGTAAGCTGAGAAAGTAGTAAGCTGGTTCTGAGTACCACTTATAGCCAAAGTTCCTCTGGAAAGCTGTAGCATTTTAAGGTAAAAGACTAAATATAGAGATGGTTAAAAGTGTAATAAATAATCAGCAATTTAAAAATATATTTTGTTTAACACAGATTATTTTTTCTTGTCTATTCATTAAAGAAAGAAACGGTGCTTCTGTTTATAGCCCACTCCTGGGGTGATAGAAATGTCTAAAACCCACAACAAGTAGGCTGATGGTGGATCCATGCCTCTCCTTCTGCTCCTCCAGATCCAATGTCACAGTCTCATCCTGAGCTCTGTAGCAGAAAACCTCCCTTTCATTTCTGACCCCACCCCCCAATGGATCACAATCTTCTCCAACCTCCCTTCCCCAACTTATCTCAGTATCCTAGCCCCTATCACCAGCAGGCATACCCTGGGAACACACAAGCTGAGCAGGTCAGGGAAACATCCACAGAAAATTTCCTACCAGGCAGCACTCAGCCACCACACTCTCCTAAAGTCCTGAGAAGAAACAGAAGCCAAGGAACAAAACATCCACCCAGCAAAGACAGATTCAGAAATCAGCACTTAGACCAGCAGTTTACAACCTGCGCTATGTGACCCCCTTTAGGTCAAATGACCCTTTCACAGTGGCCATAAAAGATATGCTGCATATCAGATATTTAATTATGATTCATAACAATAGCAAAAGTACAGTTATAAAGTAGCAATGGAAATAATTTTATGCTTGGGAGTCACCACAACATGAGGAACTATATTAAAGGGTCACAGCATTAGGACCTAAACCCTGTCCTAAATCTATAATCATCCCAATCCCAAATGCCTAAAAACCAACGTAAAAAACTCTCAATAACAGACAGAGCAGTATGTCTCCACTAGAGCTCAACCATCCTACCACAGCAGTCCTTGAATTTTTCCAATACAGCTGCAGCAGAAGAAAAAGATCCTAAAACTGTCTTATGAAGGTGATGTGTTTTTTAAAAGAGAAAATTAATAAATCCCTAAAAGAAATCCAGGAAAACACAAACAGTGTGAGGAAATGAATAAAATTTTTAAATATCTGAAAATGGGAATAGAGTCAATAAAGAAAACCCAAACTGAGGGAATTTCAGAAGTGAAAAAATTTAGGAATTCGAATAGGAACTAAAGAGGCAAGCTTCACTGACAGAATATAAGAGACGGAAGAAAGAATCTCAGATGTTTAGGATACAATAGAAGAAATGAAAGTGTCAAAGAAAATGTTAAATCTAGAAACAAAACAAAGCTAAAAAAAAAAAAAAAAAAAAACCTCCTGACACAAAGCATTCAGGAAATCTGAGATGCCATGAAAAGATCAAGCATAAAAATAATAGGAATAAAGGAAGGAGAATTCCAGTACAAAGGCTCAGAAAAAAAATTTTAAACAAAATTCTAGAAGAAAAATTTCCTAACCTGAAGGAGATGTCCCCTCAGCACATAATAATCAAAACACTAAATGTACAGAACAAAGAAAATTAAAAGCTGCAAGGGAAAAAAGACCAAGTAACATAACAGGCAGACCTATCAGAATCACAGCCAGTTTCTCAATGGAGACTCTAAAAGCCAGAAGGTCCTGGATAGATGTGCTGCATACTCTAAAAAACCACAGATGCCAGCTCAGACTATTATACCCAGCAAAACTCTCAATCACAATAGATGGAGAAAATAAGACATCCCATGACAAAGTCAAATTTAAGCAACATTTATATACAAATCCCTAATGGTGGTATTTTGTTTATGATCTAATAAAGCTTGCCTGAACCTAACAGAATAGAAAGTGGGGAATAGCCTTGAACTCACTGATGTAAGAGAAGACTTCTGGGACAAAACACTGATGGCACAGGCATTAAGATCAACAATTAATAAATAGGATCTCATGAAACTGAAAAGCTTTTATAAGGCAAAGGACAAGGTCACTGATATACAGTGGTAGTCTACAGAATGGGAAAAGATTTTTACTAACTCAACTTTTTATAGAGGGCTAATATCCAAAATACAGAAAGAGTTCATGAAAATTTATACATACATACATACATACATACATACATACATACATACATACATACAACTCAAAATATGGGGTATAGATCTAAATAGAATTATTGATAGAGGGAACTCAAGTGGCTGAGAAATACTTAAAAAGAAATGTTCAGTATCCTTAACCATTAGGGAAATGCAAATCAAAACTCACTTGAGATTTCATCTTACACCTGTCAGAATGGCTGATATTAATAAAGCAAGTGACAGTTCATGCTGGTGAGGGTGTGGAGTAAGGAGAACACTCCTCCATTGCTGGTGGGAGTGCAAACTTGTACAACCACTATGGAAATCAGTATGACTGAGGAAATCAGTTCCTTAGAAAGATTGGAATTGATCTACCTCAAGACCCAGCTACCCACTCTTGTGCTTATACCCGAAGGATGCTTCATCCTATCACATCCTAACACTTGCTCAAACATGTTCATTGCTGCTCTATTCATAATAGCCAGAAACTGGAAACAACTTCAATGTTCCTCAAAAGAAGAATGGATAAAGAAAATGTGGAACAGTTACACAGTGGAGTATTTCCCACCTATTTTTAAAAATGACATTATGAAATTTGCAAGCTAATGGATAGACAGAACTGGAAAAAAATCATCCTAAGTGAGGTAACCCAGACCCACAAAGATAAATATGATTTGTATTAGCTCATATCTGAATATTAGCCATTAAATAAATGGCAACCAATGATAGGAGATGTCATTCTGTAAATAATGTGTCTCTTATTGGTCATTGAATAAAGCACTGTTGGCCAAGATAGGTGGGACTAGAAGAGGTGAGCCTTCTGGGAAACATAGGATGGAGTTGTGATGTGATCTCAGGAGGAGAGGATGTGTGAGTCTGGTGTTCTCAGTAAGATAAGACCATGTAGAAACACTTACAGTGAAAGAAATGAGTTAATATTTAAGACAGAGCTAGCCAATAAGAAAACCTAATCACTGGCTAACAGCTTATAATTAATGTAGTATCTCGTGTGTTATTTTGGGGCTGAAGCAGTGGCGGGACCAGGCTGGCAGGGAAAGTGCTCGTAACAAACCAAGCTATAATCAGTAGACCCAGAAAGTATAGAAGAAAGGAGTATGGGGGTGGCAGTGGATTTCCCTTGGAGGGGAAAATAGATTTTATGAGTGGATTGGAGTGAGGGTAGGGGATGAGAACAGGAAGATAGGTGGGAAGGGGGAGAGGTAATGAGGTTGAGAGAGTGAATAGGGTGGAGATAGCTAGAATGGAAGGGCATATGAGGGGTGGTATGGAGTGGAAACTTCCTATAATACTGAAGGTAATCCTAATGAAGTCTCTAAATAATCAGGGAGAGGGAACTGCTACTAGTCATCTCTTGTCATCAAAGATTCCAGTGCCAGGACTGGGTTTCGTCTAATTGAATTGTTGGCTGAAAAGGTTCCATGGAAATTCCTAAACAACCCAAACTTTTTCCAAGACAATAAGATGTTCTTCACAAATTGATAGCAAGATCCCATTGATGAATAAAACAACATCTAAACAATTAATTGAACATAGAAAGGTCAAACTGGTGCCTACTTAAACGTTTATCTCCATGTTCTAGTACCTGTGACACAGGAAGGTACTCTGTAGGCTACCAAAAGAAAAACAAAAACACCAACTCAATTACAAACCCTTTAATATACACTCTGTCTTGCCTACAAAATATGTTAAGACAATGGTGACCCAAATCTTGTGGAAGTAACCAAATGATGTCGTGTTTGATTTAAGGACCACTACATGAGATGGAATCCATTCCTGACACTGGATGGGCAACCAAGAACCAGACTAGATAGTCCAGAGACCTAGGGTAAAACCAAACACTACTTGTCTTAAAAAAAAAAGAACAATAAAATTATTCCTAATGATATTCTGCTATACACATAGGTTGGTGCCTTATTCAGTCATCACCAGTCATCACTCCTGCAGCAGATGGGAATAAACAGAGACCTACATCCAGACACTACACAAAGCGAGAGAGACCTTGGAACACAGCTCTAAATAAATTATCTTCATCAAATCCCTCCCTTCAGAGTTCAGAGAACTCTATGGAAGAGTGGAGGAGACAGAGGGGATGGAGGACACCAGAACAAGGTTCTCTAAAACAACTGAGCAGAGATCATAAGAATCATAAGAATTCAGGAACTGAATTCAGAGCAATCACAGGGCCTACACATTTCTGCACCAAGACCTCTGCATACACACTACAGCTTCCAGTTCAGTACTTTTATGATGAGTCCTGAATGTGTAAAGGACTTGGTCTCTGATTCTTGTGCCTTCTCTTTGGTTCTTTATTCTCCTATTGGCTTGGCCTGTCCACCTTCAATATGATGATTTTTGCTTTATCTAATTCTATTTTGTTGTTATCTCCTAGGAGCCTGTTCTTTTCTAATGGCGGACAGAAAGGGAGTAGATCTGGATGGGAGAGGAGGTGGGGGACTGAGAGGTGTAGTGGGAGGGGAAACAGTATTCAGATTATACTGTATGAAAAAAAGAATCTATGCTTAATAAAAGGGGAATAAATGTCTATAAACCAATTCACATTTAGCTGCTAACTAAAAGAATTTTACTTTTTTCAGTGTTAATCTTGTTTTTAACATTATCAGTTTTGAAGGAGATTTTTAGTCTCAAATCTAACCAGTGTTTCTCACATATTCAAGGTTGATATTACACTGTTACAGATGCACAAAAGGAACTTTCTGATTTCAAAATGATTCATGAACATGAAATTATATATAATCCAAGATCCTTGACTGGAT